GGATCTATACACCAGGTAGTAACTATGAAATGACGTCAGCTGTATGTCAGAAATGTTTAGTCACAGACTCTTGAAAAGTCGTATGTTGTCAGTAATTTGACCCAGCAAAACTGCTGGAAATCGTTGGTGGTTTTTTAGTGCAAGCGAGTCCATTATTTCCGTTGGTGTTGAACTTGCGAAAAACAGTTTCATAGAAAAGTTGTTGACGCACAAAGTGCGCACATTTTAAAAATATCTTGTATGGTACAGAGTGTCTCAGAAAAGAGAGTCTCTCTACTTTAATTATTTGAATTAGACAACCCTTATTATTTTCAAGTATTAAATCGGTTCCAGAAATTATATTGAGATGCAGTTTTTGCGGTTTTCATTTTTAAAGTGATAACTTTTTATGGGAGGGTGAACCGATTTTTCTCGGACACTGCNTCCCACTCCGGCCTCTTCACGCCTCAGGCTTGGGACACAGATATGCACTTTGAATTCGAAATTTTTCTCTTAGTGCGGGTGCATCTGTAGATCTGATAAACTTTTCCAATACACATTGCGTTATTAAACTGAGAGTGATTTTGATTTATCAATTATTGAGTGTGTTATTATTGTATTCGGTGCAGTTTATTTTATAACGCTGATAACAATGAATCAACAAATTAGCAAGGGAGAAGCTGCAGATAATGCAAATACTAGGTTAAGGGTGCTCATGTACTAAATGCCTGTTCGAGTTTCGCCTTCTTTCAAATTTCCAATTAAAGTACACACACAATTATACACAAAAAAATGCGGATCGTCCATCAATTTGCAGGAAAATGTATTACAAACCTTTGAAAATCATCTTCAAACGACCGGGTATTTATTATTGCCAATGAGATTGCACATTGCCGTGTACTGTTAAAATTGTTTTAAGAACTAACAATCGATGTTGTGCAACAAAATTGTGACTAAGATCCACTACAATAAAGTTTTTGAAAAACTGTTGGACCTATTTTAAATCGCCTGATTGATTGCGGAAGCAAATTCGTATCAAGAAAAGATTAAATTAAATTAAATCGTATCTGTATATGTCTTACTCTCCGTCTGTAGTCCAGATGCTGGCCAGATGATGTCTATTTGCATTGTATTGCACGATTCAAAGTTCCGAACTGGTAAAATATTACTACCTACTTGTTTAGTGATTTTCATCGGAGACAATTGTTAAACCAGATGTTGAGTGGGTATTTTCTAAAGAAGGCAGGGTCAATTTATGGAAAACGCTCAAGATTAAATGCAAATAAAGTGTCACAACTGTTATTAATAACTTTTAATGCAATAATATGTTCTATTATTTCTTATTTTGTTTTGTAACAACAAATTATCAAAATTTAGATATCTATTTTTTAATCTTTCATGTTTAACATAAAATTATAAAATTATTACTGTTTTGTAATAATATATAATAAATATGCTTTGAATTTAATTGGAAAAATATTTGAGTTTACTTCGGTTATTTCAGAAAACATGGTTTCCCTCTTCTAATTCTCTATCCCGCAACGCATTCTTGATGTTAAGACGATACGAATCTCCCTTCAGCTTTTATTAGGGCTTATTTTCAATGATTAATTGTGTTTACCACGCATCAAAATTATTTTTTCCCTTTATATACCCTTTGATTCCTTTATGATTAAACCTTATTAATTTAGATACATTTTTTAGTCTTGGATTAGTTCAGTTAGAATATTTTTTTAAATCTACGCGCGATGGCTTACACTATGTATGTATAAATATATAGAGTGTCAAGTGTAACCTGTCTCTATAGCTCTTCCTCGTTTTACCGTATATTTTAAACTGATAGAACGTCTTCAAATCACCAAAATTAATTGATTTTTTACTTCTATTCAGATACAAGTTGAAGCGGCGAAAAGTATTAAGTAAAGCTGAACGCCAAAAACGATTTCGTGCGAAAAAAGAGCATTCAGTAATAGATCAACTCAAAGTAGCTTTCATCAGCTGAACATCAAAGATTATACAAAGCAAATAAGAAATTACGACTAAAAAATACAGAAACTCAAGAAGAAGAAGAGTTTACACAAACCCAAGAAGAGCAATATGTACAACCTCTCGTTAAAGAATATTAAATGTTGCAAATAAAAAACATATTTTACATTTAAAAGGAAATTAAATTACATTTTACCTATTCCTGATCTATTTATAAATTATTAAACCAAGAATGATATTAAAATTATAAAATAAAATTATTATTGACATCATGCGTTAAGCAAGTTCGATATTTTATGGTTTCTATAAATATATAAAGTTATCACTTTCGACTACTGCTTTCGAATGCGTGTAAGATAATTTGATGGTAGCATTTGAAATTTTTGTGAAAAATTAAAAGAAAGAAATTTTGTCGAACAGC